ACTCTGATTTCTCCTTCAATGGAATGGGTAATTGAGAACTGACTAGATAAATAAGAGGAAGCATTAAAAGCTAATTTCATTCCTGGAACATACACTACAAAAATGGGCTATGATAATGGGTTACCATAAAACAATTTGAATACCACAGCACATTTGGAACTAAGTCCTATCTGAAATCTATAAGACATTCCACTCAATAATAAAAGGGAAAACATAATGTGAATTTTGTTATTTAAACAGAATTTAGCCGAACAAAAATATCTGTAGCTCCAAAAATATGATAATGCTTTGTATACTGTACACATAGCACAATAACTGTAGGATATGGCCTTATCAAATAGCAAAAAAAAAATCATTGTCTTAAATATAAAATATATTTAAATTTTGACTTTATTCTTCACAGGAAGGAAAATTCTGCTCTATTACGAAAGTAATAAAAAGTACAAATGGATATTTTATGATCTTTTCCATTTATTATTGAAAATAAAAGGACCTGATATTCTAAAGTAATAATTAAATAAATATTATCATCCACTATTCCCAAGAAAACATTCTTTAATATTTCAGTAAGTAAATTCATTCTTTGTGTATTACATGCATTTGTGTGTCAGAGATGAGATAGGTCTTTGTGAAAACAATGAAGAATAAAATTAACACTCTGAGAGGAATTGAGTTTAAGTTTCTATATATATACACAGAGGATCTTCTATTATAGCTGTACCTATGTGGCTCTACTGCATATTTGGGATATAAATTGCATGTGTAGACTTGAGTTAACAGTTTAGGGAGGTAGCACTCTTTGATAGATTTTATGCTTAATAAATGGCCAGAACAGAAAGAGGTGTGTCAGGGATATAAGACATGATGAACATAAAGCATTAAAAATACTATCTGAAAAAAATGCTGCCATTATATACAAACACATGCTGACACTCAGACAGTACCCAGTTTTATAAAGGCCAGTGTTACTGACATGGAAAATTTAGGGAGAAAAAGAAAAAGAAATAAAAAAAGAAACATTTTTGCTTGCTTATAAAATGGTCAAAGTGATAATTAAGTGGAATAAATTAAAGGGTGTTATTCTATTAAAATATAATGAAAGAATATAGCATATTTTACTGCTAAAATTTTCAAAATGCTGATCAAGGGGATTGCTAATCTTTCTAAATCAGAACCATGCATTACACAGACAGAAAATTTTATAGATGATAAATTTAAAAAGCATCAGAAAAATAACTCTCCCAAAATTTCTACAGTCTTATATGGAAAAGCTAAAAACTGAATACTTGCATCCCAACTCCAATACAAAGAGTATTCTAATAATATTTAAGACTTCTAAAGTGGGCTTTTATTGATTTTGTATTTCTTAGTAAATTACCAGTAGGCATTCATTCTCATCTGAAGTTCTATTACCAGGATAAGGTAGCTTGAATTTTCTAAAAAGTTAGAAAAAGTTTGAAATCTAGTAATACAAATATTTTGAATTTCTATAGGTTTTAGAACAACAATAAAGATTTTTATTTTCTTCTGTATTATGGAAGCAACATCAGGGTGTTCATAGGAGGCTTTGTCACATGAACATTTTGCCATCAATCATTTTTTATATCTGATTTCAGGATTTATATGTGCAATTGTAACATAGGTAGGCTTGCAGAAGAAATGGGTCACAGGGAAGGCTCACAGGGTTTTCTGACACCTAAAAGCAATTCCTACTTTTGAAGTCTCTTTTCCCAAAAGATTGGAGTACTAGTTCCTCTCCATCACTTTATTTATTTTTTTAAATAGCCCTATTAAGTTCTGGGAGAGGAAGCACAAAACACAATAATTTTAAAAAGTAGAAAAACAGAAACAAAATTAGCAGTTGGGGTCCACTGACATTTTTCTAATTAATACAATTTATATAAATTTTGTCTAGAATGAGATAAACAGAAAAACACTATTGGAAAAATGACTCTGCATGCCCAAATAGGTTTTGTTTTATTTTTATTGTTTTAATCTTATGACATTAGGAACAAAGTGTGTTTGAGCTGGAAGAAATCTCAGTGTGTATATTCTTAAGTCCACCCTTTTATTTTACACATGAGAAAGTTGAAGCCCAAAACTGTTAAATGACTTGCTCAAGTGCCTGAAGGAAGATGGTCCTGAGCCAAGCCTCAGAAAGCAATTTATTGCAAATAGTACTCCATTAAATTTTAAATTGCTATTGGATTAAATAAATCAGGAGAAAACAACATATATATTGGCTAGTAGTTTGTAGTTTTTAAATTAATAAATTTTAATAGTCCCATATTAGTAGTCTGAAAAGACATTATCTGAGTTGATGCTTTTTCCAAGGCCTGTTGAGATAAACTGATATGTTCCAAACATAATATTCTACTGAAAACAGCCTTGTCTTGAAATGAACCTGTATCAATGAATACTTATGAAAAATCTCAGAGATGGGTGTATGCAGTTGACCCAAGCAAAGAAACAGTTAACTGGAAAACCCCACCTCTTTGTAAATAATCAAGGAAAGCCTCTCTCTCTCTCTCTCTCTCTCTCTCTCTCTCTCTCTCTCTCTCTCAGCAATACAAAATGTCACCACAGGCTGACGCTCTTTTACAAGAATAATGAGATTTTTTGCTACCTCGGATGCTGGGTACACACCATTTCATTGCCTTCATCTTTAATTCAGTTTGGGTGGCTTGATACATATCTTCCCCTGTCCTTAAAAACAAGTAACATGGAATGCCTAAAATACACTGACGACTACTGTACCAAGTACATGTCAAAAGACCTACAAGAGCAGTTTCATAAACTCGAGTTTGTCCTCCAATACTGGACACACATTATTAATACTGTTCCGGAAATGAAGGGAGACAGCCAGGGAAGTCAGTGGGGTGAATGAAGGCAGCCATGGGCACTGCACCCGCAACTGGCTCTGTTATGCAGAGCTCTGAAGGAGACTTGCTTGACGTCCAGAACCTGAGTGCAGACACAGCGCCTTAGTGTCACAATCCTTCCTTTTAAAACACATTGACACTGCACCGAGAAGTTCGCCAATGCCAGCCAGGTTATTAGTGAAAGCCGAGAATCTGAGGGTCTGTGGCATCCCAAGCCCACATCCGCAGCGGTTGGCAGCGCTGAGAGAGCGCTCCCTGCTCGCGCAAAGCGCGCTGCTCTGTGCCCACTGGACAGGAGAGCCTGCGGCACGGAAAGAAGTGCTACGAAAAAGGTCTGAAAGAGGAACCTCTCCCCCGTTTGGCAGCTAAGTGGTGAGGAAAAACCTGTCCTTTGACTCGGCCAACTGAAATAAATTCCAGCGCGACCGCACGAGAAAGGAAACTGGGCGTGTGCGTGTGGTCGGGGGCGGGGAAGTAGATGATCTGCACTCTCAAAGTCGGGAGAGGGTTAAAATGAACACCAACTATGGGCGTGTGGATCTTTACATTTTACAAGCTACATCACTCTTGTACTCCCTTCTTGAATCTCCTCCTCTTGGCTTCAGAGTGTCTTTCCTTCCCCCCATCTGACACTGGGTTCAGGAAAAAGTGAAATCCACACCGTGTCAGACCCTAGAGGGTCTCCCCTTCCCATCTCCCCGATGTTTTCCCCTGCCCCACCTGCTTTAAAACGGTTTAACTCTGCTTTCACAGTCCCCGCCCCAGAGCCTGAGATTTGTCACAGAGGCCTTTCTCAGCCTCAGAAACAGCAGGTGAGATCATTACCTCACCTAGGAATGTAACTTTAATAAAGAAAGCTGGAGAGGGCACCCTCCCCAACACCAACACACACAGCATTAGCACCTCACAAACACTTGTGATCTTTCCCTCTAGCTCTAGTCCCCAACCCTACTTTTCTCTCTTTCCTTGGGGGGAAAGTCAGAGGCTTTCGAAAGCTCCCTAAGGTCTAAGCTTGCCAACAACTGAAAGGATGTGCAGCAATAAAGGAAGCGAGAGTTTTTTTCTTTGCCAAAAACTAAAGAAAAGAGAAAGAACAAACAAGTCAAAAGCAGGACGTGGTTGAACTGGCAACTGTCTGCGAAGGGACGTAAATCAAAACTTCAAAGGTAAAATCCTCAAGTCCAGCGAGGAAATGAACCTGATGCTCTGTCAAGTGACTGTGAGCACTCAGAATGCCGGGTTGGGACTAACACATGTCAGTCAGCCGGTGGGCCTCAGGATGCCAGGGCTAGGGGACGCTCTGAGGGTGAGGAAAGGAATTCCCCAAGAGATATTTTAGTTAATGAGAATTTTGCAGCCCGCCCCCCCCCCCCATCGCCGCTTTCCTTTAAGGTTCCATATAGAACTGAGATCTGTCACAGGTCCGGAAAATCCACTCCACGAGCCTAAAATCTCCCCAGTCTGGCTGTTAATTCCAGCTCACCCAGCGTTATTTGCCTGCCATCACCCCTACACTCACCACCCACCAAGACAATGGAACTACGATTTAAGGGTTAGGTTTTTCGTGTGTGTGTGTTTGTGTATTTTTTAAGGGGATGATTAAAGTCCTTCCTTTCTTCTCTACCACCCCCCTTATCCCTTCTTCACTTCATAACAAGGGGAAGTTCTAGGGGATTTATCACGAACAAGTGCGAACAGTTATTTTAGTCGAAAGCTAAGCGAAAGAAAAACTGCCCCAGGCGCAGTGACGTGGACTTTGATACCCAAAGACTGGGATTGTCAGAGGGCAAGAGCCTGCCTCTTAGCCAGGAACCGCCGGAATCAGGCGAGAGAGTCTAAAAATCTTGACCATGGGTTCCTGCAGCTCCAACCCTGGCCTCACCCAAAGTTCTTGGAGCTTCACCCAGCTCTCTGCCCAAACTTGAGCCAATCAGTCAAGCCCAGAAGAGCGACACAGGTGACTGAGCCCAGGGCCAGGTCCGTGCCTAGACGGCCTTCCCTGACCTCCCCCACCACTCGCCCGCGCGCACAGCCACAGGACGCGAAGCCAGGGCCGGAAAACTAGAAAACTGCCCCTGGCCCAGGTCAGTCCGTGGCCTCTCCGAGGCCCTTACTCACCTGGCCTGAGGATCGCAGCGGAGATCAAGAGGCAGAAAACCAGACGGCTGGAAGGGGACGACTTGGATGCCATATTCCTCCTCCTTCTCGAGAGCCACTGACAGAGTCCACGCCGCAGGAGGTGGCGACGTCCCGGGCCCCACGGTGCCCGCACGCTGGTGGGTCCCGATGCAGAGCGCAGCGGTTTTTCCCAAACACTGTCCCCTGGGCTGTGGTGGCGTTGCACCTTCAGGTCTCTGCCACTCGCAACTTTCCACCACGCAATACCCGCAACTCCTCCGCCCTCCCCGTCAGCACCCGCCCACGGTCCCTTCGGCTACTCCTCCCAGGACCAGCGACCTGGCTTTCCCGGAGACACTTGAGTGACACGGAAAGGTGTACGTGGTTCTTTTAGGCTGGTATCTTCTGTTAGTTTTCTTCTCTTGAAATAATAATGTTGATAGCTGTAGTAGGCATAAAAAGCTCGGTGCTATGAAGGAATCGCCCGGGGCGGCGACGGGGGGGGGGGCGGCGGGTCTCCTCAGGTGGCAGCAGTGGCAGCAGCGAAAGCGGCGGCAGCAGTAGCAGCGGCGGTGGCAGCGGTCTCTGAGCTGCTCTGAGTGGAGAGACTGGAAGGCGTGTGTAACTGCCTCTCTCCTCCTCCCTCCCGCCTCTTCTCTCCCTCCTCTCCCCTCCCCGCTTCCCTAGACGCAGAGCCTAGCAGGTGGTTGGAGCGCCTAGCTGCAGCCTAGAGGCGCTGCAGGACCGAGTGGGAGATAGAGCTTAGCGCTGGGACTCTGGTGGAAGGAATTTCACGGGCTTCATCCCGGGCTCCCGGATGGGCGGGGCTTCATCAGGACTCCACCCCCAAGGGCATGCCCGCCAATGAGGAGCAGATTCGGTTGCTGCGCGCCGCCGGGAGGGTCTACCGGACTGACACTTCCCGTGCGTTACCGGCACCCTAGTGAGATGGCCTCTCGCTCTCTACCGTCCACCAGCCTCGCCCCCAGTTCAAAAAACTAGATTGCTCTCTTCTTGCCCACAGACGCCCGTCTCACTGGCTCATTCCTCTGGGATTTTTCTCCTCTGTAGTGTAGCAGCCTCCCAGTTCTATAAAATAGGACGGGCAGTGGGGGTGGGGAGAGCACCTGGGGTCTAAGGGCGGGAACCAAGTGGGGAGCAAGGGGCCAGGGGAGGAGGACAAGGTGGAAACTCTCCTTCTGGGAGTTGAGACGAAACGCTACTGTTTGCTTGGGGACAGTTCACGCATTGTACTGATTCCTCCCTTACTTTTTTCATCCCCCCTTACCTCCCCTCCGTTTCCCGCTCACCTTTTAGGTTGACCACGTGAGTCGACTGCCCAGTACCAAATGGAAAGAAGATATATTTTTTTTTTCTCCAAGGGAAATTAAGAATTTCTAGACCACACTTCGTCATAGGATTTTCCCAATGTCTACAATAACCGGAGTGTGTGTCACTTTTATTTTGAATTAAGCGGCGATTTTTTTAAGGCATAAAACAGAAAATCCTCAAGTTATTCAGATTAAAAGTCAAACTCCTCCTGGTCCTTTCCAGAAAACAGGGCATCCCAGCAGATGGGCAGGGTTCTCAGGCAATTTCTTAAGATTGAGCCACCTCCCAGTCTTAACATAGGGAAGCTGTGTCGCTTTCAGATCAGGCAGAGAGCATGAAGGAATATTTTCCTCTAGAACACCGGGGTGGAGCTGTTGGAGCCCTAAGTGGCTCTAAATCAGGAATGTGGGATCACAACTCTTATCCTCGAAGCATAAAAAAATTGTGGTCCCTGAACCACTTCACGGGGGCATTAAATAGCCTTCGTGCATCACAGGGTCACCCCTGTATGAGGCTAGTCTCCAGTAGAGAATGCTAACTAGTAATCATCATATCGTGCTATTTTTTCAAAAGGCTGCTAGTCACCAGCCTTATGGGGGAGGGAGTTCAAATAGAAGAAGCTTATGGAAACAAGAATGTGGGCGCACGCGCGCGCGCGCGCGCGCGCACACACACACACACAAATTCTTTATCTTTTCACTTTGTAGATGATAAAGGTCTATTTTTACCTGTGATTTTTTTTTTCAAAAGCTTGCTTGTCTTTTCCTAGTTCTCTTGTATTAGCAGTATTCTAAAGGAGAACTCATTTTTTTCTCTCTCAAAATAAGTAGTTTCTCCCACTTGGTTTTAACATTAACATTTCATTTGCATCTTATGAATCAACAGCAAGGCTAGGACATGACAAAAGCCCTTTAACTGTATTCCATGAGCTAAGCTTGGCTGAACTGCTTAACATGGTCATGAGATCTATAGATTCCTTTATAGAATTGTTTTTCTTTAACTGTAGTGCATTTCTTTAACTGTGTGTATTAGAACAGATCATCCCAATTGTTATCTTTAACCTGGATCCTTCTGACTCTCTAGTGAACCTCTTTTATCTTGGGTGGGACTTATTACTCCATACATGTTAAAAAAGGTCTGTCTGATTTTTGGGAAGAGCTGTCTGATTTAGGTTCTGACAGTAACTGTATGATCATGGTGAACTCATTTAACTTCTTGAAGCCTGGGTTTCCTCACTTGTAAAAAGTGAGAACAATTGTCTCACTGTATTTTTGTATTAAGTGAGATCACACATTTAACTAACCAAACATGGTAGAAGGAGCTTGGGCATGGGGAATAAACAGAGCCTTGTCTGGATCCCTGATCAGCATTTATTCAGTGAGTGACCTTGAATAAATGTCAGTCATAAAGTGTGATGGCATATTAGCATATCACTTTCAAAGGTGTGCATTTAAATTGGATCAGAATGTTAAATAAATTATTGATATGATACATAAACACAGAATTCTAGAAGCAACTGACTATATGTACATATATGTATTATACATGCCCCATTGTTTATACACAGTTGTTTCCAGAATTCCTTTTTAAAAAGGAATATGTCCTAGTTTAGGAAAATGCGTCAATAAGTCAGTTGGAACAATAACTCCGAAGTCTGTTGGTCATACAGAAATAATGGTGGAACTAAATTAAGTGAAATAATAAAAATTAAAATAGGAATTTGGCAGGGAAATGTGGCAGGATGCTAACCACAGCACAAGGGACAAGAGTCAAAGCAGGCAAGCATGAGTTTGAAAATGGTCAAAGGTCTTTATATATATTTTAATGAGTTAGTGAGCAACTTTCACTAAATACTATATGTTAAATAATTCTAAGCAACTTTTATGAATATGGATATAATACTAACACTCAAAATATTCTATTAGAAAGGTACCATTATCAACTTAATTTTATTTAAACTGAAACCTAGAGACCTGAAACTACTATCTCAATGTTACACCATGATTCATAGCAATGTTAATGCCAGGATTCTACCCCAGGCACTCTGACTGTAGAACTGAATTCCTACCCACTATATTCATCACTATCTTCATAGGCCTGGTACAATAAATATGAGATGATGAGAGAATTTCTAGACAGAAAACAAACAAACAAAACAATAACAAAAAGCTAGAATCAGTAAGAGCTCAGAGTCAGAATTTAAAAGGAGAATGTAAATTCCACAAAGTAATGTAGTAGAGAGTTCCACTTTCAAAATCTAGTGTAGGAGGGTGGGATCCACCTTACCCAGTTCTTAAGAGGAAAAGACTTTCCAAATGCATCTGCATCTTTATCACTTTTGTTACAATTGAGAATACATAGTATTCCAGTGATATTTATCAGACAGTTTAGTCATGCATTAGAGCATCCTGATGGGTACTTCTTACTGCAGGAGGTAAAATGAATAATGCTTAGCCAGAGGAAAAAAATGGTTCATGTTACCTGGAACATGAGAAGAGCTTTACATTTTAAGTATAAAAGAATTCATCATCAGTCTGCACAGTATGCTCAAAGCAGTGACGTGGTAAAAAAGACAAGATTCTTTCATAGGGCCTGTCAAGATCAGAATTCAGGATCCTGCTCCCAAGACTCAAGCCAGGACCCTTTGGTCTTTATTAAATTAATTAAGAGCATTCAGCACATTTGTAAATGGATTGGACACTCCATAAATATCTGTGAATAAATGGTAAGTATTGAGAAATACTTAATAGAATGTACAGCCTCAAATAAACTTAAATTCCTACGGGGTAGTAATATAAGAAGATGAAAGGGGTTTCCATTGAGTCTTCAGTGATTTAACTGGACAGACTAAAGCTTAGAAAAAGATAAATGAATCAAGTACTTGACACCATAATGAGAATTTTGAAATTCAGGTTGAGTATACTAAATCTGAAAATCCCTAAATCTAAATGCCCTACATGTGAAACTTTTTGATTGCTGACAGGACACCATAAGTAGAAAATTCTACATTTGACCTTAGGAGATGAGTCAAAGTCAAAACAGAGATGTAGTAGAAATATTTTATAAACTTACCTCAGTCTGTGTGATATTTTTCAATCTATCTATCTATTTCTCTCTATACATATACATGTGTGTGTGTGTGTGTGTGTGTATATATATATATATATATATATACACACACACACATATATACACACAGAAATATATGTATTTTATATATATTACTTATATATAAAGCATAAATGAATTTCATGTTTATCCTTGGGTCTCATCCTCAAGATAGCTCATATATATATGCAAATCTTTCTAAAAATATCCAAAATCCAAAGCGTTTCTGGGTCTCAAGCATTTTGGATAAGAGATACGCAATCAGCTTAAGGAGAAGAAACACTTTGCAGGAAGAAAAGAGTGGCAAAAACTATTGCTATCAATAAAAATGAAAACAAAAGGCCAATGAAGGGAAAAGAAGCTGAATTAGTAAGGATTCTAAATGACAGGCAAGGGCTTGTGATAAAGATGTACTGATAACAAAGATCAAGATGGAGGGCTAAGTAGGATTAATATTAAGCCTAGGAAAATATAATTATTTTAAAGAGACACAAAGATTTCATAGGTAAAACTCTTTTTCTGTATCTCAAGGTTTTTTAAGGTAAATTATTTCTAAAACAACTCCAGATATGGACTGAGGGGCACATGGATTTTTCTATTTCTAAGAAACAGTCCATTGAATTTTACTGATTAGTTTCAATTTTTAATGGTAATATTGTCAACTAACATCCTCAATAATGCTAGCCAATAAAGTTATATCACTGGCATTCAGAAGGACATAAACTTTCAAAGTCTATGGTAAATATCAGGTTCTTATTTCAGACTACAGACTGTTCACTGACTGGGTACAAAAGAACATGCCTATTTCAGTCAAACTAAAAATCCACTTAGTCACTTTCCTTCCTGTATCAGACATGAGGAATGGAGAAAGAATCTAGTTGAGATATTTGACTTTGAAACTTACATATAAATGGATGTCAAAAACTCTTAGTGTGTTAAAAACTCATAATTCATTAGTGCCTTCAGTAAGTGCATAAAATTTAATCAAAAAGTATAACAGTCGGGGATTACCCCAACAAGGAGAAAATTTCTCTTCAAAGGTCAGTATGTACTTTCAACTTTCAACTAAAATAAGTAGATCTAGTAGTTTTGAGAAAGTAGAGAAAAATGACTCAGAGTATGGTTATTCAAAATTTGATGCCTTAAAGGAATTTTAATTTAAGTTCAAGAAGTTCCCTAAACTTATCTTTATTTGCTTTTTCATGTCATACTAGCATTTGTAGCTCCAATAGTTACATTAATGAATATTTGGTGGAAAATAATGGCTGTAAAAATATAAAAGCAATGTATATTTGATTTTCTAAAGTAAATAAAACACCATGGATATAATGGAC